TTCTTGAGGATACATGGTTCGATGCTAAGGTCAAGCGTAGCATTGGGATGGGAGGTGTTGGATCTGACGCCAAGGAGACCAAAACTGCCAATCAAGAATTCTCGAAAGAGGTTACCGGCTGGACCTTCAAAGAAATTGGAGTCCTTAAGGTTGGAAGCATCAAGCATTACCTTCATGAAAATGGTGTCAAGAGTAATGACACCAACCCAAAGATCTACAGAATTAAGAACGATGTGGTAAGTAGCGCAGTAAACATTATTGAAACATAACTTACAATTTAACAGACATACGAAATCGAGCTTTCTGAGTATTCATGGGACAAATGGGTTCCATTTACCCCTCCAACTGGAGACTCCCTCCAACTCGAGTTCTCTATGCTTTCACCATTCCATCGCCTTGTGCTTAAGCCATCAACCAGCACTTCCGAGTCTCAAACATATACCACAAGCTTCAAGCTTCCAGATCAACACGGTATCTTTAACTTCAAGGTCAACTACAAGCGACCATTCTTTACTACTATCGAGGAAAAGAACACCGTCACAGTAAGACACTTTGCCCATGATGAATACACCAGAAGTTGGGCAATCAGTAATGCCTGGCCTTGGATTGCCGGAATCGGCGCCACAGTTACAGGATGGGTCGCATTCGTTGCTCTTTGGTTATGGAGCAAGCCTGTACCATTGAAGTTGACGACTAGTGGAAAGAAGATTCAGTGATGTAGTTAAAATGGATGCGGGGACTACTTGTATGATAAAATTAAAAGTGTACAGGGCATGCATAAATGAAATTTCATCGTAAACTGTTATGTGTATATCTTTACAGGGGGTTTAAGATAGATATGAATCGTTCCAAAATAGGTCGATTTCAACAATTAGTATTGAACGGGTGCTAGTGTGTTTCCCAAGACAGATCGGAGCAAGTGTCATCACAATATAGGGCTGGATACTGAAGATGGAAACAACTCTTCGAAACAATGTAATTTCTCTGTGTGCGGTTGGTATCATGATATCATTAAGCCAATTCATCAGTCACCCCTCTCGTATATCAATTTGACCCCATCCTATCATCTCATCATGGGCAAGCAGCCCGCTGCTCATAAATCTCAAAGCCGCGCGAACAATATAATCCTCGACAAACGTCCTACCTCATGCCAAAATTGATACCAATCTCATCTCCGGTAACGACTCACCACCTTTCTCAGTTTCTCTTCAACAACACTTTGGAAAAATCAGGTGTGAGCTCCTCCAAACGGTCCTAAAACCCTCCATGATGATTCCTGAACAACACTGGATCATCACGTAGATAGTACACACACTTAAACCGCATAATAAACATCCATACTTACATCCTCCACAGTGTTAGCCCAACCTGGAAACCTCGCTTTCGCCCAAAGCGTGACCACATCACCAATTTTCAGGTTGCGAACAAATTCACCATTAGCAGTTTCTCGTCCTCTACCTTGAGCTTCTAGTTCGTCTGCTTCGAGACTTTCTGGATGTATATCATCGTTGAATCTCCATGTTATCTTATGATCCTCAAAAACCCTTGTTGCAGTTTTGTTTTTCTGGAGGATCTTGTTATCGGGGTTGAGTGCATGTACAAACATTTGTGGGTATTTGGTGGCCGGATTCGCGTCGTTTTCGCGATCATAGCTTGGGTTATTTTGAATATCGGGGAAGATTGTTTGTGTACTGCATTTAATCTCATTCGTCGAATCTCGTGTGTCGGAATCAGAGCTGGAGAGACGGAAAGAGGGGCTTTCAGGGGTGTGTTCTGCTGGGTTGACTGTTGTTAGATCTTGAAGATTGGATGTGTTATTGGTGCGAGCCTTGAAGAAACATGTTGAGTTACCTTTCCTCGTGGCATATGTTCTTTCCAGGCCAACGTCAAACCACGTGTATGATCCTCTGTATGTCCCTTTATCTGTACGTACACCTCCCCATCCTTGATCGTGACTTCTGAGATGAAATACGATTTTCTTGCAAGGGTGTTCCCCACGAATTTGTGATCTCTCCGCCCACTGGTTGAGGACTTCCTCTGTGGCATCTTGTGGGATTTCTCGATCTTTTGGCAAAGGCTTGGGTGTCTGTTTAGAAAACTTCCATTGATCTTCTGAATGTATTTCAAGAGATGAATCATTGTTGTTTCCCTGAGATGGAAGATAGCCGATGGGAAGGGTCCGTAAAAGAAATTTATTCTCTGATGGGCCACCAGCTCTGATGGTGACTTCTCGTCTACTGATGTTGGCGTTCTGGCCACCCTCTTCCTGACCGGGAAAGAAAAATCCTTTGGTTGTTGTATGGGGCCAATATTCGGATAAGTCAATAATGGCATCGATGAGCTCTAGAGGTAGCGGTGATTCTGGGCGTAGAGTGAAGAGGATATTTTTAACAGTGAGCACATCTTCTAAAGATGGCTGATATCTTTCGGAGTCATAAAATTGCATGTTGAGGGCTAGCTCTGATTCTTTGTTTTGGTCTGTTCCTGACATTATGTTGGAAATGGTATTGTAGAAATATTTCCCAAACTGAAGCATGTTTTTGTAGGTAAATCGGGTATTGAAGGTAGCAGGTTGTCATTGTGCCGGTTCAGCTGTGCCACAAATGAACGTCCAAGGCTGCTTCGTTGATGGATGTTGCCTCCATGACGTACCCACTTCAGGGGTCCGAGCATTAGCGTAAGGCTACAAGAGAGTTTAGATTGGGGAAAAAGCGCAAGGCTTCAGCCTTGTATGTACCCAGCTAGATGTCACGTTCTAGCACGCAATTGGCTGAAAGAGACAATGGTGCTATCTACCAGTAAAAGCTGCATTGTAAGCCAGTAGTGGCTGCTTTTGTTTTGACCGAAATCGCTGACAAAACAAAATTGCATATTAATTCTAAAATGTAAGTTGATTTCTCAAGCTTCAGTAAAACAATGATTTCTTTTTAATCTACAAACCATCAAAGATGAATACTGCCAGGAGTCTTATCGCAACTGCGAGAACAGGTGTGAGGAGTACGAAAGCTGTTCCAAGACTTTGGACAAGACAATTGGCCTTTCAAGCTATCACCCCTCTCCAAACATCCTCACAAAATATCTCAAGATCCTACCATGGGTCTGGCTCACGAAATGCTACTCAGGCGTCATTGGCAGAGGCTTCTAATCCGGCAATGGCATTCCCTTGTCTAGATGCTCTCGAAACCAAGTCTGCGACTCTAGAAGCTCGATCCCTTTCAAGTGGCCCAGAACCATCTTATACTAGCGGAGTAACACTTAAATTTCACTGCGACGATCCTTTATTGCTTGACTGGGGGGGAGTCTTGCGAGAATTCGACATTGCCTATGAATCATGGGGTGAAATGAACGCAGACAAGTCGAATGTCATTTTACTGCACACTGGATTGTCTGCATCTTCACATGCACATTCAACAGAAGCGAATCCTAAGCCAGGATGGTGGGAAAAGTTTATAGGTCCGGATAAAAGTCTTGATACGAATAAATATCATATCATATGCACGAATGTTATTGGAGGATGTTATGGTTCGACGGGACCCTCGACAATCGACCCAGCAGACGGAAAACGATATGCGACGAGATTCCCAATTCTTACCATGGAGGACATGGTGCGGGCACAGTTTCGACTACTCGATGGATTAGGAGTCACGAAACTATATGCGAGTGTTGGTTCGAGTATGGGCGGTATGCAATCATTGGCTGCCGGAGTTCTGTTTCCTGAACGAGTTGGTCGAGTGGCCAGTATTTCTGGATGTGCACGAAGCCACCCTTATAGCATTGCAATGCGCCATACTCAACGGCAAGTGTTGATGATGGACAAGAATTGGAATCGAGGATTTTACTACGATCATATTCCCCCTCACGCAGGCATGAAACTTGCGCGTGAAATTGCAACTGTAACATACCGTTCGGGACCTGAATGGGAGTTAAGATTTGGTCGACGAAGAGCAGATCCAAGCAAGCAACCTGCCTTGTGTCCAGACTTTCTTATCGAGACTTATCTAGATCATGCAGGCGAGAAATTTTGTTTGGAGTACGATCCAAATAGTCTTCTATATGTCAGCAAAGCTATGGATCTCTTTGACCTTGGAGCGACAAATCAACTGGCGGCTTCATCACGAAGAGCAGACCATTTAGCCCGCAAGGGAACTGGGGCTGAATCTGAATCTTCTCTTGGAGATGCAGCTTGCAGCCTTACCCTCCCAGATAGCCCATACCAGGAACAGCCAGAAGCAAATGGGACAACAGATATCAATACACCCATTGAGCCATCTTCAGGCCCCCCTGCGGACTTGGTATCTGGGATGAAAGCCATGAAAGATCATCCTACTCTAGTTATGGGCATTTCTAGCGATATCTTGTTCCCTGCATGGCAGCAAAGAGAGATTGCTGACACGCTGAGAAAGGCAGGGAATACCAAAGTAAGTCATGTTGAGCTTGGAGAAGACGTGAGCCAATTTGGACATGATACATTCCTATTGGATGTAGAACATGTCGGCGGGCCATTGAAGGAGTTCTTGGGTTGAGTGAGATACTGCACATGCACATATCTTCAAAGCCCAAGTGTATATCACGAATGAGACGAAGCATGGCTTGATGGCGTTTGTGGAGCTGTAAAAAGTGGCGTACATATTATATTTTTGGAGACTAGATATCCCACGTACCTATCAATTCCCATGTGTCAGACATTCTTCACCGTCCACGTCGTCCTGCCACTTCTCAATGTATTCACAAACTTATCCAATCCACTAATCCAATTTTACTACCAAAAAACTCTTCATTTTTCTTCATCGGGGTTGTCCGACCCCAGTCTAGGCTCACATTATCCCGCCCTTAGCTTCGGACGAGATCCTAGTACCAGCATACATCAATCCAATCACAAACTTCCCTTTCACGAACTCTGCTTGTCGGATGGATCCACTATGCACCTTGTGCCCCACTATTTGATAAATGGAGGCTTATCAAAAAAGTTCAAGTAATCTGAATTCCCATGATTGATTCTCTTCTTTTTCTTTTGCTCTTCACTGAATCTCTGGTGCATACGACGTCGGTCAATGAACCAGATAAGATAATTATCACAGTGAGCGACTTGAAGTCTTTGCGCTCACAATTTACAACGGTGGAGGAGTAGAAAGACTTATTAATTAATTTGCGTATTGGGAAAATCGACTTTGCGATAAGCCGACCATAACTAGTACCAACCCCTCATTCGATCAACGTCATTACTACCCAAACTACCACCTTTCGTCAAATCAAGTACGGGAAATCCTTTTCACCACCAATCGTGGATCTGCAATCGAGAATCGGACTCTTAGAAGACACCTTTCATTCAGACTCGGACTCAGACGTCAATTCTGAATATCAAGACGAGGGCCAGGGTCAATTGGAATTCGATACAGAAAGAGTCGGGAAAGACAACATGAGTTCCAAAATGGGAAATAATGTTAAAGTTGCCGGAGTAGAGACCAATGTCAATGCTTTGGAAGGGGACAGACATACAAAATCCAGCGATGGCGCTCAGGGCAGTGGAAGCTTTGGTATGGCCAGCGATAGAGCCACGGGTGATCAAGTCGATGGAGAGATTTTGGAACATGCCATTGAAAACTTGGAGACCAAAAATAAAAAGTGGTGGGCTTATTTGCTCACAAGAGACTTCTGGATTGTCTTAATTCTTGGGTAAGTTTTTCTGCTTCCGCTGTTTTGGCATGAGATGGCGACGAGTCCATATGATGTTTTGCAACTTATAAAGTATTTGCTACTTCAGAGCCTGGGAGACCAAGCCATGAGACAACTAACACCATTGCCCTGAAAAAGATTTCTCACGTCTTATCTTATGCCAATCAATGTTAGCATATTTTTTCAAATCTAACCTATTCGTTTAACAGACAAATTCTTTCACTTTGCATCACGGCTACCAATACATTCACTACACTCCTTGCGAATAAGGGAACCTCGATCCCAGCCTTTCAGACTCTCTTCAATTACATCGTGCTGTGCGCTATCTACACGACTTACACCATCTACAAGTATGGATGGAGAGATTATTTCAAGCTTCTCTGGGTAGATGGCTGGAAGTATGTCATCTTGTCCTTCATGGATGTTGAGGGAAATTATTTCACAGTTTTGGCTTATCGATGGAGTACGTATTCCTGATTTCTCACAAATATATTGTGTAAAGTTACTAACATCCTACAGCCAATGTCCTCAGCGCTCAACTCATCAACTTTTGGTCCATCGTTTGCGTTGTAATCGTCTCGTTCATATTCCTCGGTGTTCGATACAAGTGGCTCCAAGTCATTTCCATTCTCGTTTGCTGTGGTGGTATGGGTATTCTTCTTGCATCTGATCATATCACTGGTTCCAATGGAGGCAACCCACCTACCATGTTGAAGGGTGATCTTTTTGCATTAGCAGGCGCTACCCTTTACGGTCTTTCAAACGTTTTTGAAGAATGGTTCGTTTCTAAACGGCCTATGTACGAAGTCCTAGGCATGCTTGGTCTCTTCGGTATCATCATCAACGGTATCACAGCTGCCATATTTGATCGTCACTCTTTCCAAAACGCCGTCTGGGACGGCCAAGTCGGAGGTTATATTGTTGGATACACACTCGCTCTTGCACTTTTCTATACCCTAGCTCCTATTATCCTACGAATGGCATCTGCGGCATTCTTCGACATCTCGCTTCTCACGGCCAATTTCTGGGGTGTGGTTATTGGTATCAATGTTTTCGGATACACCATCTACTATTTGTATCCAATCGCATTTGTGTTGATTATCCTAGGATTGTTCGTCTATTTCCTTTCGGGAAGCATGTTGGGAGATGCGGTCAAACCATGGTTGGGCAAGGATCAACAGGCTGGTGTTGCGGGTGTAGGAACGGCAAAGTTAAAGGCTATTAATGAAGCGAAGAGAGAGGGTCTACTTAATTCTGGACAGGGAATGGCTTGATTGTGCGTGGGAATCTAGGTTAATATTTAATGAATGGTTGTTCTTGCGAGATGAATAGGATAGGGTAGGATAGAATACGATACGATATAATGATGCTAAGAGAAAGCATAGATTCGCTATTATCTAAGAAGAAGAATCTATCTGAATACCTATCTACTGTACAATTTTATACCAGAACATGTGACATGACAGCTAGCTATATATACCATAACAATGAGAGTACCACTCACTCACTCACTCACTCCCTGCCAAACAAGCATCTCATCTGATTTTTAGCACCTGCCTACCTACTAGGTAGATACCTTTAACATGCATAACATACAATCCCGCGAGCCACACAAAAGAACACATACATAACCAACTAGCAGGAGCAGGAAGGACAGTTAGACAGATATCGTAGATGGACAAAAATACACGCATATCTCACTATACAATCCATACAATCTATCCATAAAATCTATCCAAAATAACAATAAACCCACTTCAAGATCAGGCTCTAGTGTATCGTTAGTGTATCCTCAGAGTATCCTCGTTACAGTATCCTCATCACAATACCCATCGCAGTATCCTCATCACAGTATCCTCATCACAGTATCCTCGTCACGGGAATCCTCGTCACAGTCCTAGTATCTATTACAATATCCTTATTACAATTCTAATACCTATTGTAATATTCTTATCATATTTCAAGTACTCACCACAGTCCCAATACTCACCACAATCCCAATACTCACCGCAGTCCCAATACTCACCACAGTCCCAATACTCACCACAGTCCCAATACTCACCACAATACTCATAACAACCAGTCCATTTCGATTCTCGATTCTCGCTTGCAAGCAAAAAGGGGGGGGGGGGGGGGGGGGAGTGGGGGGTTATCGACTACTGAGTTTATTAGCTTGTTAGCTTGTTAGTTTATTAGCTGCGTATTATGTGGTGTGTATTGTGTAGTATATGCTATGTGCTATATATTATATATCTTATATTATATATTATATATTTTATATCTTATATATTTTATATCTTATATTACATATTTTATATTATATATCTTATATTATATATCTTATATTATATATTTTATATTATATGTTTTATATTATATATCTTATATTATATATTTTATATTATATGTTTTATATTATATATCTTATATTATATAAATTAACTGTAATATATGTAATAAGCTTAACCGAGATAGACGGGATAGATTAACTAAAATAGACGGGATGGAATAGAATGACAATATATCTTATATCTATCTATCTACTTATCTACCTATTCGAGCTTCATAGTACATATCTATACATACATATAGATATATAACTCATACTACTCGAGTACATATATGCCTTTACGATTAATTCACTATTGACCAAGTACCTATACCTACCTACCTACCTATATACAATACAATATCAACACATCATCAACACGCTATAACTTCCCCTCCATCCATCCACACATTCAATCAAAGATCACAAAGTAACAAAAACAAACTGTACAATACCTATACAACAACAAAAAACACCATCGTCATAGTCAGAATTGCTTTAAAATATATCGATTCCAGAATTCTCATGGAAGAGAGACTATCTAACTTTCCAACCCACAACACACTAATTACGCACTATGACACTCTATATCTGTATGTATCAATCCATCCATCTTCAAATTTCATTGATCCATCCCATTTCATACAAGATAATTCTCGAGTTTTCAAAGGCCATAACTATTCAATATGATGACATGCCATGCCAGACCACACTGTGCATTCAGTGTTGTGTTCCTCTCGCTCCCAAATCTTCCAATCCAATCCAATCTGTACGCACGTGGAAAAAATCCGCCCACCCCATACCCAATGCAACCACACAATCCCCAAACAAGCCTGTCCATGCCATGCCATACCCCCACAACCAGACCATCCATGGTCCATGAGTAGAGTTGATACCACTCATATGTCACTAAAAACGCCCAATGATATCCCACCATCCAGGAGGTCAATCATATTCCATAAAACAAACTAATCCATCCTATCTAAAAAATGAAAAAAGGAGAAATCCATCCACGGGTGTTGAAGATGTATGTATCCAGACTTTAAAGTCAAAGAATAATAAGCAAGAAGTGAGACACGCTGGAATGTAATATTCCCCTGCCATGAATAACAAAAGAGATGAAACAAGAAAAAAAGCTGTCGTGAGAGAGGAGCTGGGCAGGCTCTCTTGGGTATCAAAGCAGCCCGATGCAAGATAATATGATGTTGATATGTATGTATGTATGATATGCACCAGGCGGAAAATAGAAAGAAAATAAATGGACCCATATGCTTGTAAACTGTGATGTCAAGAAAAGTTGAGTCTCGGTGTAAGCGAATAACCGTCGCAATGCAGTTAAAAACGATAAATAATTCATGAATGAAAAAAAAAAGGCAGGCAAATGTCGTAATCGTGGCTCGTGTATTGGTATGAATACCAGTAGAATCATAGTGGTAGGTGATAGTGTTGAGTGGCGAAATTTGATCAGCCGACAAGAGTCATCGCTCTAGGCATACTTCTTGACCCATGATGGATTGAGCCAGCCAACCTTGTCAAATGCTTGCCAAAGTTTGCTAGCCTTGTTGACATCAATCTTACATGCCTGTTGAGCATCTGTCTTTCTGAACTCCTTCCCGACTCTCAATGCTTCGATTCTTTTCATAAAGATTCGGCGTTTGGATGTAAGATAAGTTGCACAATCAAGACGAAGATTGGCTGCAAGAGAGACCTCGTCCGGATGGAGAAGATGGACATTTGGATCACTGCGGAGATCAATTGGGGCACCCTTCCAATCCACTTTCAATGAATTGGGTTTATTAGGAAGACTGGTAATTGGTGGACAGTAGTCTGGAAGGTTCTCAAAATCCTTATCTTCCCGAGCAACTCGCTTGACATCGGGACCAGGGGTTGTCGAGGATACTGTACGTACACCTCGAGGTGTCTGGGTAGGTCGAGGAGGGCGTACTGTCTTTGTGACTCTCGTAGCAGTGTTGCCTAAAACTCTTGTGCTTCTTCCCACGGCAGGGGCAATATTTGTCCATCGTCTTGCACCAGATTGTAACTCTCGATCTCTCCTTAGATAAACCATCTCCCTTCGTAACCACAGAGCCGGATCCTTTGACATAATCTTAACAACTTGTGATTTGAATTCGAGAGCGAGCTCGTACTCATCGCGGCGTGGAGGGGAGGCTTCTCGGAACATGCTAGCTTTCCTGGCTGCAACATGCCCATCGACTACACGGTGTGTAACGAGAGGATCATCATTGTCTGCGAAGAGGGATGATTGAGTGGCAGATGTACTTTGATTGTCGGAAAGTGGGTATAGGATTGGATCGGTAATTGCTTGTGAACCAGCGGGCTCTTCTGGTGACCGAGCCTTGGTCTCTGGAGACACAGGTGGCGATATGGGAAACGTCGCACCGACGATTGAATGTAATTTTCGCATCTTGGAATCCATTGTGAATGGCAGGCACGAATGTGTAAAGTTATCGAGAGGAAGTGGCTCTGGAGGTGACATAAGCGTACTGGCGAGATCAAGCTTATTCTTACGTTCCATACTCATGGGGCGAGAAGATGCTGCACGAATTGGTTTGATGGATTGAGTTGAGTGTGTCGAAGTGGAGATTGTTGAATTGATGAATGGTTTTGTAGTAATTGGTGAGTGTCTAAAATCGAAGGTAGTAGAAGGTTGCCGGATCGAGGTGAATGTTTTGTCATCCATAATCGTTTGTTCGTTGCCCCGCGCCACTCTAGGTCTAGCAAGCAAATGGAAATCGGATATCCCGCTTCTTAAATCCGTGGAAATGATTTTTGTGCCAAAGAGAAAGTCCGGGGATTGAGACAGATATATCGTAGATATCGTCAAGAAGGCTGTGTATATGTAAGTGTTGCGTCGTGTTGGTCAGCTGAGGATTAGGCTGGAAAGTTCTTTGTGTTTGATCCCAATTCAATGCAAAGCGGTGATCTACCTTGCTTAGGTATTGAAAATGGGATTTCAATTGCGGTATGGCGGGGTATTGCGTTATTGTTGTTGGTGAATGTAGAGAGGAATGCAAGCAATTGTGAATCAAATACACAGTAGATGGCAATGATTTGAGTTGAGATATGTATGTATGTGTGCTTGATGAGGAGGAGTTAAATAACAAGAAGCAAGCAATGGGAGAAAACGAATTGCATGTGCGAGAGAGAGAGAGAGATAGAGGGAGGGAGGGGGAGGAGATGAACAATAAGTATAATAAATATGGCCTGGTATGGTATGGTATGGTATGGTATGGTATGGTATGGTATGGTATGGTATGGTATGGTACCCTTCTTTTTGAATGGAAAAAGGAGGGAGGTGTGAGAAGAAGTATAAAGAGTGTGTGTAGTGTGTGTAGTGTGTATGGAGTGTGTATGAATATGGATGGAGGCGGATGACTCTAACCAGTCATTCCATTCCAAAATACGCAGCGGACGGTTCGTAGGCTGCCACGAGGTGATCAATTCAACTGGTCATGCACTAATAAGCGCAATTGGAAGATGGTACTTTGGTAAAGGTATGGAGGGTGTTATCCTAGTTCTTGGGTGTGAGGATTATCAAGTTTTAGTATTCTTGATAAAAATAATAATAATGATGACGGTGATGGTGATGGTGGTGATGATGATGATAATGATAACAATAATAATAAAATAATAATAATAATAATAATAAAAACCAAAATGAAAATAGAAATAGAAATAGAAATAGAATTCCAATTCCAATTCCAATAAGATTAATGAAATCTCTGGTAACGGCGGGGACAGAGACAAGAGATAATATAATCATCAAATCATGACCAAAAAAAGGAGGTACCTAGGTAGGTTGTGAATGCTGTTTTAGAGTGAATTTGCTTCTTGGTCAGGTCAGGCAGCGGTTAGACTTGGATGTTTCTTAGACGGATTTCCACCATGCTGATTGGTGCCAATGGGTCTTGATCTTTGTTGGTCTTGCCCGATTCTTTCTTCTTTTTTTCTTTTTTCTTTCTTTTCTTTTGGCTCACCTACCTGGGATTCTTTGTTTTGGTTTGGAGTGACGGTAGCTGTGTCTGCGTGTACTAGTGAAGGAGGCGGGCAGTCCCGGGAAGCGTGGGTGGTATACGGAGTAGGTAGTAAGAAGAAGAAGAGGTACATGCGTCCTCTTTTCAATAGTACAAGATGCGTCGGTGCTAGAGAGGTAGATTGCATTGCTAGATTGCTAGAGCGAGATACCTTGATACCGATACCTTGATACCGATACCTTGATCCCTTTCTGCTGCTTGCCTTTTTCTCTTTGTTCAGGTAGAAGTTACCAGAAGGATACTACAGTTCATCAATTGGCCAATCATATCGTGATGTGATGATACAATGTTCCAACCATTCGTCAGCGAGATATATTGACAGGCAAAATGAGAATAAAAATAAATATAAAAATAAATACAACTGTCGAGTGAGATATGGAGTAGCTCACTTGGTCGGTGAGAACTTGATAGAAGGGGGGGACGAGATAAAAGATGGATGGCAATTACTGGACTCACCCTCATCGTCGTACCTAGGGGCTCATACTCATCCTCATCCTCATCCTCATACTCACACGCACGCACTCTGATACTCACCACTCAATTGTCTCATTGTGATGGATACAAATCAATCAATTGATAAGTCAAACTCTCATTAGACTCCATGAGATCATCTACCGATATCTTATTGCTTCGGGGACTCCAATTGAGAATTGCCCTGGAGCCCTCTTTTTTCTGTCTTTCCGTTCATGGATGGAGACGGTGGCAGACCTTCAGATGAGTTGGGTTGGCCCAAAAGACAATTGAAACGTGTGGTTGGTCAATATGGATGGATGGGTTGGTCGAATGAAAGAGGCGAAAGAAGTGAAGGAAGATGTGTAACAGAAGATGTGACTCACCTGGAGGGAACGAGGGAACTTGGAAGAAGTTCATGGTTGGGTTTAGCTTGGTGGGATAAGTAATTCATTGGTTCATTAATTGGCTGGTGAGATGATACATGATACTACATTGGGTTTAGTCTCGAGGTCAGGCTGACATCTGAACGCACTAAGGAAATGCACCAGGAAATGCACCAGGGAAATGCACCCAAATCGGAAAATAAAAGATTGGAAATTATGGGAAATTCATCTTCTTGGGCCGGTTATCTTATTTTTGGGTTTGGGGTCATCAGAGAGGTTGAGTGAGTGAGGGAGTGAGAATGTGTGACAGATGGATTGAAGCGGCGGCCGCGGATAAATTTATGCAATTGTATATTTACACCTATCTACCTAGGTATCTGGGTATACACCTCCAGCTGGGCAAATGTTGGTAGAAGAAGAGAAATGAAAAGGCACAATTGCATAAGTGGGAATTAACCAAAATAATGCTTAGATGATACTACTGCCGCTGCTGCTGCTGCTGCTGCTTCTTGCTCGTGCGTGCTTGATTGCTTGCGTGCTTGGCTTGGATGTGTTTGCCCATGGTGAAGATGTGATTGATGCTTGGTGAAGATGCTTGATGAAGATGCATGTGGGGAAAGCCGATACTCTATCACATCTTACATGAGGCTTCACTTCATTCATTCATTCATCATGAAGAAATCGTGAATAACAACTCAATTCATCTCAATTGGAAAACAATGGTCTCAATCATCATCCAATTCATTCTCATCATTCGTATACGTATCAATTTGACTCCATCATCAACTTACATTCTCACTCAATTGGTCCAAGACATCCCATCATTCGAAATCAAGAGTGTCCAAAGTCTTGATTCCATTCATGCAATTTTGAATGTGTCTCGTCTATCTCTCCTCATGGTCGCCAATGGCCTCCTCAGTCCTCACCTCCTCTCCACTCTATCTTACTTCGCCTCAATTGACTTTATCCTGTTCTAGAACTATGATAGATATATGTTTTGTCTTGCCTTGCCTTGCCTTGCCTTCCATTGCGTTGCTTTCCGTTGCTTTCCTTCGCCTCCCTTTCCTTTCCTTTCCTCTCCTGTCCGGTCCGGTCCTTTCACAACTCAACAAGCATAATCATCTCCAGTTTCATTACAACCATACTCCGTAACTCCACATCATCCTCAACCCAATTCGCAATTGAGTTTTGACAAATGTCTCTCCCCCTCCTCTTCTACCCTCTTCTACTTTATCCCACAACTTACAAGCCTCCCTCATTTCCATTCTTCAACGTGTTTCAACCTTACAGCACTTTCCAAGCACCCGAACCAACTAGTGAGTTCATCCTTTGACCATCGTTCGTACACGTGTTTCCACCCCATTCCCAATCATCTCCGACTAGCCATCGACCTACATCTACCTAACCCTCCTTTCTCTCGATATCCGAAAGCCCAATGATGCACATACGAGAGTCCTCTGTAAACAACTGGACTTTCGCAATTGGCATCTCTCTCATGTCATGTCCCATCATCTCCAAATCATCATGACGTACCCCACTCTTCTACAGGAACTTAATCACTTGTGGTGTACAACACAGTACTTTCCTACCGTGCTTGAGTAGCATCGCTTCTCTTTATTGGTGACAAATGCGCGCTTCTTTGCTCTGGGGTGGAGAATGCTGTACTATTCGTCTCGTACATGCAGTTTGAATGTATCATGAATCTGCTATCTACACACCCCCTTTCTTGCGTGCTCTTCTCATTAACTTTGGTCGAGGATGGAGAGAACTTGGTGCGATTTGGATAAGCTTGACTATAGATAGATGTACTCGAGACTAGGGAGGTACGAATCATGAGTTTGAGGAAGAAGGTTCTCATGAATTGATCATCCGTCCCTTTGAATCTACCATGCAAGGTTTAAATCCCCTTCCCACCCCCCCTTCCTCACCAATTAAAGGGTCATCTGCACCTCCAATTATGTCTCTTCAATTCATGAATCAAGAATCTATTCTTGCTAATATCTTAAATCAACGCAGAGACCATCATCCCTATCATCACATGCAAAGATTGCGATCCCATCTTGTCTCACCACCCCACCATCCCATTCTATCGCCCCGATCATATGATATGATACAAAGTCATCACCTCACCACCATGATCACCTCACCCCTTCTACGAAGTCATAGCACATCTCCAACTAACTTTCTTCCTCTTCCTCTTCCCAATCTCCCAATCTGTCCAATGTCTCCAATTCTCGCCTCCCTCGCCTTCGTATTCCCGTCCTCCTATCCCGTATCCCCCAACCCCTCTTTCTCCTCCCCGAACCCATCCGAAAAGGACTGAAACATGCACCTCTCAAAGCATCTAAATGAAACAACCCAAACCCCAAACACAACCCAAACCATCACAAAAGCATCTCCATGCATACATTACCCATTCACCCAGTTGCACATCCCACTTCCTCCATCCATTCTTAGTTCGCCCGCTGCAACCTGCACAGAAGCATAAACACGACATCTCTTCCCATGCACGTCCAGTAGATCCAGTATACATGGCATGCATATATCAGCTTTGCATATCGTAGGTAGCTAGGTCAGATTCCTATCGCCATCCATCTCCTTCCCGTAGGTAGCCTTCTACGCTTACATTATCTACGATCTATCTCTCGGAACTTAATTCCCTCGTATGTAATCATAATCCATCGATAGACAATGAAGTTCAATCTTCACATCCTCAATCTTCACATCCTCAATCATCTCATCTCATCTCATCCCATCCCATCCCCTCCCGATTTCGTAACATACCTCGTACTCCGTATACTCGTAATCATATCATAGCATCACACAGCATCACACACAATACCACACCATCCCCCCATACCAAGCTGAACATTCATTCCCCATCTAAACCCACCCAAACCAACCCCCCCAAAAGATCACACGTACTTACCCCGAAACATTCCTAGAGTATATGGTAGGTATCATCTACTATCATTTCCAAAACACTCATAGATAGATACCATTATACCATTATACCATTATACCATTATACCATTATACCATTATACCATTATACCATTATACCATTATACCATTATACCATTATACCATTATACCATTATACCATTATACCATCTCCTTTTAAACACCTACCTACCTACTCATCCATCCATCCATCCATCCATCAATCAATCAATCAATCCATCCATCTAAACAACCCATCTAAACAACCCAAAAAATCTCCAAACTGTAAACTCCCAAAATTTCAATCCCCAATCCCCAATCCCAATCCCATTTCCAATCCCAATCCCCGCCGCAAACGCCCACCAACCCAAACCAAACCAATCTTGGAACCCTCCAGGGCTACCTACCAAACCAAAGCCAAGCTGACAGCCATCCCATCCCACCCAGCCACGCTCGCCACGCTCGCCACGCTTATCGATAAGAACAAATAGAGGGGTAATTTTCTAATTTTCTAATCGCATAGAGGGGTAACTTTTCTAAATGCCCCCCCCCAGCAAAAATCGAGAAATGTTTGTTTGATAAGGAAAAGTGACGGGGATGGCTTGTCTATTGTGAGGCTTGTTTTGTCTAGGGAGTATACGGAGTACCTAGTATGCATGGATTGGTGAATGGGTGGATAGTTAGGTTGGATAGTTGGGTTAGATAGATAGATGAGGAAAAGGTAAAGTAAAGGAAAGAAAAAGTTGGAAGGACTGGAAATAGAAATGGATTTGGAATGGAATTGGAATTAGAACTGCAGGTGGATTTGGAATGGAAAAGTGGATATATTTTTTCTTTTTCATGAGCTAATGAATAGGTGTTATCGAATTTTTGAAAATGTTCAAGTTTTGAGAATGATGAGAGAGGTGAGCAGAGAGGAAGGAAGCGGTCAAGAAAGATGTTGGTTAGTTGATTAGTTACGAGTAGTTGATGAGTTAATTATTTAATTACCTAGTAACTATCTAATTAACCCCCTTCTATTTCTTTCTCGTCACTTGATGAAGAGAAATAAATAAGTAGGTACGTAGATGAACTGATTGATCGATTGTATGTTCATTTCTTCATTTCTCCATTCATTCATTCATTCATTCATTCATTCATTCATTCATTCATTCATTCATTCATTCATTCATTCATTTGACTAGCTAGTATTTGATTGTAAAGACGCAGCTCGCGCTGTTTATAAAATTTCTGGATTTTGAGAGCGGGTGGTTTCATAGTTTCATAGTGGATTGATCATCTTCTTTATCATCTAGATAGATAGATGCTTACCACAATATTATATTTTGAACCTGCAAAATGAGAAGAGGAGGGTTTATAGCAAGCTTTAGTATGTCCATGATGGATTTATGCGTTCTTGCGATGAAATGAATTGAGATTAAACAGGTCTTTCAGGGTGGAATTCATATGTTTCGTCGCTTGTGTATGTATCGTCAACCTAGGGAGGGAGGTGTATATGTGTTTATATTATTAGAAGTCTAAATTCATATCCCAATTCCCAATTCCCAATTCCCGATATATGTATACCAATTTCTAATTTAGAAAGAATCTTGACCACCAAGATTGCTTCTTATGCTCGTTCATAGAATTAATCACATTTACCCTCGCAGTTTGAAGTGAGAACTCAATATGAAATAGAGTCTATGAAAGTTCAGAAGCTATAGTTGGAAGGGGATACAATGAGAGAGAATATGTATATAATTCCAAGTTCATATCACATCATCTCTATTCTGGATATTCCTTTAAATTCATGTGGATATTACAATCAATTAGTCAAGTCAAATCATTGATATCAAGTCACCAAAAAGTCCATCAAAATTGCAAAATAAAAGGAAAAATCGTTTAATTCAAAACACTTACCACGAAGAGCAAGATTCGCAGTCTACTACAACAAAAGAAAGCTGGAAGAAATTACCATTGTATTTGCACCTTCGTCCTCATCCTCTCTCGCCCTCTTCTCACTCTCCTTGCATCCCCCGCACACCTTGTTCTGGCGAACAATGTCCTGATGGTAGTAAGGACAAGTGGTGGGTTGGATGTTGGAGCGGCGAGCGAGGTTGCATCTGTCAACCCAGAAACTGGGATGGCCGCAGCTGGAAACGGTTTTGATGGATTTGCACATTTTTGGTTGAGTTGTTAGTTTGTGTGTGTAAGTGTGGTGTGTGTGTGTGTATGTATGTGTATGTGTTCTAGGGAATGAAGAGGAAGACTGAATAGGGTTATTGAGGGCATGTATATACCTTCGAGAGAGGTGTTGTTGAGGAGTTGTTCTGAGATTTTTAAGATTTTGTGGGAGTGGAGTTGTTCATTCTTCCACTTAACAGAACGTATAGTCTGTTTCTCTTTGTTGTATAATCTATCTGGAGTTATGAAACTATTTGAATGACTATCCGAAGTACATTCTGGAATGTAATTTGAGTTTAGGTCAAGGTCTTATGGATGTGGATGTAGCGACAGAACTATCGGAAGCTGATAGATTCAGTTATGCTTCCCCTTGTCCAAATTTTGGGTTCAGTGAACTCAGGAAACTTCTAGAGAGGAAGAATAGCCATTGATAATGTTTAGTTCGCAGAGATCATGATAATCGTGCCTGTAGACCTGTCCTCCTTCTGATAGAGAGTGAGTATAGGAATATCAAGAATTACATTTAGCCAGATTCTCAAAACCACACTCTGAGAAGAACCTCAATTTTACAAAAAAACAATGTCATTTAGAGAGACAAGAACATGAATGAAAGAATAAAGAATATATATCCCTCTCATAAAGAAGTATAGAACAGAGACTATTCAGTCTTATTTATTATTATTAGTTATTTTTCTTTGTCTTCCTTTCTCTCTCATCTCAAAGAAAGAATACTACTTCTCATTTCGATTATTCTTATCTATTCTATAGTACTTCATATGAAATTTTCAACTTAAAATGTTTTCGAAATTCGAAATTCACTAGTTAATATTTTAATATAACTTATAATAAAAGAAATAGAATTAAAAAAAAAATATTAATATTAAAAGTAAATTATTAATAAAATCCTGAAAGGAAGTTGATTTTTTCCTTGAAACTCTCAGTCTTGCTAAGCTACAGCCTATTCTAACCCTTCCAGGTATTTCACGTACGATCTCTCGATATTACTCACGGTAGCCTACTAGGCTACAGTACATCTGAGACGCGGGGCGACTGTGAGCATTCGATGACAATATCGATCCACATTTCTGTATAATATACAACTAGTCATACCAGCTGTATCCAAAGTAGGTGTAAATGTAACAACCGTACGCGTCCATGACGATCAAATGGAACTAGCATTGCCGGTTCCACTCGGCATGAATATAGGAGATAGACTTCTATCTGCGCAACCTTGAATAAAAACCCTTGGAGAGCCTTGCTTTTGACGTCTGCCAAGTATGTTCTAATGTCCATAAAGTGAGAAAAGTTGTCTCACGAGAGCCATGTCTAAACGTATTCGAATCTTGAGAGGTGTAGAGGGGAAGAAAATGATACCCCCCCTCCCCCTCTTTCCACGTGAAATGTGTAGAAAGGGCAGATCTGCGCTTATTAATGAGTAATATGATGACCGCATTTCCACTCCAGATCCTTCACATCCTTATATATATGTACAACATTATGTAAAATCATATATAACCAGTCTCTGCTGTGTACACCCATTCCCGACCTCATTACTATTAGCCTCTCCCACAGCTAATCCGTTCTCATCATGCGCATTGATGAGTAATTGCCCGTGACTCACTTCCTCTTCGTCGCCCTCGCACTCACAACCTGAATCTTCCTCGCTCGATTTCAGCACTATTACCATTTCCTCATCAAAACCAACCCAGATTTTCTTTTCCAGATCCTCTCTCATCTTCCTCTTCTCGGTATCATTGGATGTTCTCCCTTCCCTTTCTCGACCTCCATTGCCATTTTGCCTTTCTCTCCCCTCGCCAACCCTCACACTCCTTTCTACCCTTAAGCCCTCTCCCTTCTTAAACAAACCTGGTTCCAATTCCCAAACCCTTAATTCTCCTCCCCTTTCACTAACACTCACTGCCTTACCCCTACTGGTAATACTTGCGAAACTAATCGAGCTTGTATGTCCAAATAGTTTTTGGGGAGAGGAAAGAGCAAGCGAGGTATGTGTACTGGTGCAGAGATAGAGAGAAAGTGTGTTATCTGGATGTGTGGCCAGAATATAGGGGTGTGCGTAGGAGAGAGATGTTGGACGTGGGAGAGAAGCGCGTGGGGCAGATGAAGTTAGGGGTTGAAAGCCAGAGGGGAAGGAAGAGGTTAGGCGGGAGTTTGTTAGGGTTGGGAGCTCGAGTGAGGAGAGAGTGAAGTGAAGTTCCTGAATTGAGATGGTGTGTCCGCTTAGGTAGGTTGGGAGGGTGTAAACGACTGAGGCGATAATAGTGGATGAGGTGAGACGGATGGATAGGGATAGTGGTGGCCACGAAGAATGTGATTTGAGAGATGTCAAGAGATGCGGACGGATTGGGGTTTCCACATTCTCCTGTATATTGGTGATCTTGTCCTTATCTTCAGACTCTTGCATTGGCCCGACAGGACTAAGCGTATAGAACGAAAGGAGCTGCCTTTCCGTGATGCTCAATATGTATGGATGTGCGTAAGCTATAGCGCTTAACATCCCGTTACTGCTCGGCGGATGCCTGTAATTTTTCACAAATATCTTGTTTTCCACATCGAGTACCCAAGTTCCCCAGCCTCCGTCTTCAAATCCTACCACAATCCCTAATCTCCCTTTCTCCCCATCTTGTTCATCGACGGCTAAACAAGTAGGTATTCCCTCGTCCAATCCACACGTCGTAACCAATTTCCTTTCCTTAAGACCCCAAGCCTTCAAACCCTCCATCTCACCGACCGTAATTACCACTCCTCCTGCTAACCTTACCAATATAGTCGGTACGTTTCCTCTCTCCGAAATTTCGAGCTCTTTAACCTCACATGCACCCCTCGCCCAATTATGCCTCAGTTTATACTGCCTCTTCCAATTGGTCTCTCTCCCATCACCTCTATTTCTCAACCCTTCCTCATCCAACCATCTACTCCTCCTCGAACTAAACCGAAACCTTTCTTCATTCTCAGATTTATTCCTACTCCCTTCTCCCCCCAGTTCTCCCGTACTTCTTTCTTTGTTCGATTTCTCTCTGCTCTTAATCCCCGGGATGCGCAATGCGCGTGGTAACACAAATCGAGAATAATATAATGATTTCCATAGTTGAGAATCGTGAGTAAGAGTATAGAAGTGTTGGGAAACAGAGTGGCAGGATAGGAGAGTCTCAATTGGTAGATGATGAAGGATACGGATGAGAAGTTCGGAGGACAGATGAGAAATGTGATCGCGTTTATTCCGTGGGAGGCAATGTTTCTTCGTTATGGGTAGATCATTTTGAGACGTACTTGATCTTCGGCGTTTGGCCATGGTGTACTATGAAACTTTCCAAAAGGGAAACCGTAGGGCAAAATCTAATACACCTCTCTACTTGAGTACTTTGTCAGTACCTACCTATGTATCTCAATATTTGCCCTCGCGCTTCGTCTTATCAATTTTGATATACAGGGATTAATGCAAAGGAACGCGGAAGCTAACTTATCGCCGACCCACCACTAAAATTCACGTGCGTGTCCAAATCTGGGGCCGAGGCTGAGGATCGAAATTAAGCTCCAACCCCCCTTTGCGACGGCATATCCAAATCCAACCTTCACTCACTACCAACAAGCGCGTTTCATCTTCATTCTCTCCACAAAATCTCTTCAGTTACATCGATCATCTTATCTCATGAATAGATCTCAATCATGGACTCCCTAAAAAGTGTGCGGGAGAAGGTCCCTAACGCGCTACACCTCTATTCCGACTTCATCCTCAAAAATCAATCTTCCGTCACCCAAATCGAATCGGCTTTGCGCTCTCTGACATATATAATACCCGGTCGATTTCGGGATGCCGAACTCGCATCTGAATCTCTACATTCCTCTATTCAGTTACTCTCACTTTATCATGATACCCTTCTCTCTCGCGCCCTATCCAAACTCCCCGGTATGCCCAGACAAAATGCACATAATCGATATACCAAATATTGGGTCAAGGGCAATCGGATGTATAGAAGAATTGCCATGTTACTGAGTATGATACAGTATACCGAGTTATTATGGGAGATGATGGCCAAGAGGAAAGGAGAGAAGATGAGATGGAGAGTGGTAGTATTTCTTGAATTCATCAAGGCAATCTGTAAACTCCTACTTCTAAGAATCACCAAAGGACGACCACTTGTTACACCACCTCTTCCCGAACGTGATATCATACCCGAGGAATCACTTACGGAAACCGAGGAAATACCCCCTTGGCTCGATACCGATGACACGGCAGCCATGCGAGAAGAAGAGAAGCTCCGCAAGAAACGCGAGGGAAAAGAATACAAATTAAAGAGAACGGGCTTAACACTTCCAAATCTTCCAAATCCAAGCGATGTCACAAATTATCTACTTTCCAAAGTTCTCGTTGCCGACGATATCAAAGCGCCAATCTCGCTTCTTAACCCCCTTACTCTACCTTCTCAATATGCAGAATACATGCACATTCTTCAACCCGTCATCTATGCCATTGCTCTCTCCTATTACCGCAAGAATCCTAAGTCCTGGAAACCTTGGGCTATAGGCCTCAGCATTGAATATGCTGCACGCCAGCTCCGCAGCGAGAATTATAGAACTACTCCTCTTGAGAAAGAACAGTGGAACAAGAGAGGCTGGGCAATGGGATGGTGGGCCTTACGAGGTGCTTTCTATGAAAACGTTACGAAGGGATTCTTGCACAGAACAAGTAACCGTTTGCCAAGTTTTATTGGGGGTGTGGTCGAGGATTATTTGTGGTTGTGGGATGAGTATTACTTTAGTACAAGTCAGGATTAAGGCAGTGAGCTAAAGTGTAAGAGGGATCCCGGATTTTGCTCGGATTATAGAGGAGACGGATCAGGGAGACGGAAAATTTAATCATCAATATATCAAACTTCTACGTTGTTTTAGCACTAGGAGCTTGAAGGCGTCGGGTCTAATCTGGAGAAATGAGACTGGTACGGAATGAATGCATATTTACACCTATTATGGAAGACGAAG